TTAGGTTTCTGAAGCAGAGAAGAAAGTGAAGATTGAATTTTATGATAACGCAACAGGCAGTTGTTGTTTCAGGCAGTAACTTTGATAGTATAATGTAAAGATTAAATTTACCAGCTGCGTTTTTTCCAAATTAGAAACATTGGTTCCATATTTTAGCTTAGGGTATTTCCGTTGATATCGCATATAGTTTTTATTCAGTATGTGTTACATTTGTTACAAACATATTAAAAAACAATTTTCGTGTTTTTCGCCTGTTTGAAAAAAGCACTCAAACCATCACTTTTGAAATGTATTTCCGATATAGCCATCACAAATTCAATGTTGTATTCTTATTGTTTATGATGTTTTATGATTATATACTCATTCGAAGTTTCAAATTTAAAGAACTAAATTATTTAAGTTTCACACATTCATCGAGCATTATCAAAGTAACCCCAAATAAAAAAACTGAAGTTCGGTCACAAAACTAAAAAAATAGTGCAAATGCTTTAATTTCCGTTAAACATATAACTAACGAATTGACTCTTGGATCCTCAGTACGTGTTTTAAAAATATAAAATTTGAAAAACATTCATTGCTTTAAACATTATTTAGAATATACTTTAAAAAAAACTATCAATGCTACCCCGTTTTACGGTACTAAATATTGAACAAAATGTTGGTTCATATGTCAACGAAGTAGGGGAGGAAGGGGTATAGTGATCATACGGGGTTTAAGGGGAAGTTTACCGGCCCGAAAATAAAAAAATATTTTCTGTACGTTTTTATTTTTCTAAAAATATTGTTTTTCTAAAAATTATTAAAAATCCAAGAAAATCAATTTCTTCTTAGATTTTTGTCAAAAATTACATGTAAAAATATTTTTTCTATCTCATCATGAAAAAAATTGGACTCTCAGAAAAACCAAAAAGTCGATGTTTTGTGGTTTTTTGAGTCCAACTTTATGCCATAATGACTTATAAAAAATGTTTTTGCATGTGAATTTTCTTTGAAAATTAGAAAAAATGTTTTTTTTTTAGATTTCTGATACCTTTTTTCAATATTTTTAGAAAAAACAAAACGAAATTATTTTTTTTCGGAGGGGTGAACTTCCCCTTAAGCACCTTTTTGTTTTCCAATTTGGAGGACAACCCTAACATAAAATTACCATGCATCATTATTATATACTTTCGTATAATGATTGCAAAATAGAATACTGTGACTTTTCTCAATTAAACGTTTGGTTTCCGATAAGCAGGTGCTTAGTACAACATTAATTGAAAATTAGGGGATTCAGCTATTGAATTTCAAAGTCAGAACAAAAACTCGTATACAGGTTCTCCACTTGTTTAATGTTTTGATAGTAAACATCATAGTTAAGGTACACTGGTGCAAGTTGAAACAGTACGTATATCTCTTTGGAAGATAATATTCACTGTAATTATTTTTGAGAGGTATAGTGTACTACCGCAATCTACAGTATTAGAAATAATCTCAGTGATTATTCACTTCCGCTAAGAGCTACATCTACCGTTTCAACTTCCCCACGCGTTTCTACTTGCCCCGGTGTAGGGTAATGGATTTTGGTTGGACCTATTCATGTCATTTTCGCACTGCGTCTAAATGTCTGCCGTGTTTTTTTTTCTATGAATATTACATATGGACATGAAAAATATGTGTTTGGTGAAAAAGTCTAACTTTCTAGTTTCTAATAATATAATGAAGTTTCTAAGAATGAACAATGTTTTCAAAATAGGATTTTATTGAAACGCGGGCTCATAATCACACAAGCATTCCTGAGTAATTGCGCTAATTGGGTTCTTTAATTTAAAAAAAAGTGTTTCAATTTTTATGCATCATCTGAAAGAGCTCCGTTTTTTTAGCACAACTATGTTTTTTTTCGAAACCGTAGACTTTCATCTCGATTTTTAAATCAAAGTTTAAAGCAACATATTTACTCCACTGTTTGACACTAAACTAACAAATTGACAGCTCGCTCCCATACAAAGTCCCACTGAAGGGCGCAAAGATAGTGATATTTGCTAATGTAATCGCACTTATTTAAAATAGTTGAAGTACTCCAATTTTTATCAAATTTCGGATTTCGGTTCCATGTTTAATGTAGATTACGAATATGCCTTTTCCTCAATACCCTTAAAGAACCCAATTGGAAACAGTAGATAGAGTTTCTTTCTCTATGATGCATGGTATATGCATTTGGGTTAACATCCGACGCTCCTCCTTCTTTACATATTCTGTACAAAAAATACTTTCTAAGCCCCGCCCCTGACAGGATTTCCCACCGTTTTTTTATTAATGCGGCGGGGCAGAAAGTATCTAAAGTTTATCTAATTGCATATATAGAGGAACCAAATATGTTTTACAGTCAGTTAATGGTAAATCACCCCAAAATAACATCATAATATTGTGAGCGATTTTTTTCTCAAATTCGAAGCTCTCTGGGCAGTAGTTGGGTGAAAAAATTAACGGAATTAAACTTTTTTTACTACATTGTAGTTTGCTTAACAATTATTTCCCGGAAAAAGTGATCGTTAAAGTCCATGTTTTTTTCAGGTTGTCGTTACAGGGGAGGGGGTGGGTGAGTGTTTTGCATAGATAACTTTTCCACGTTTCGTATTAGGGGCTGTTTATTAACTAGGTAGACATTTTTTGGGATTCTTGCCCCCCTCGTAGTTAATGAACAGCCTCTTAGTTGAACGGGACCCAAGTCACCTTTAACCACTGACTTGCTCCTGCTTACTGCAGGACCAAACGCCACGCCATCCGGAGCGGTAATGAGCAGAAGCGCGACAGCAGTGCTGTTTTATATCTTTTCAGAACGATGTGCAACCAAGTGGTACTCGACTATGATGACTGGGTTTGGGAAAAACGCTTATTTCATAAAAACAGTGATAAAATTATCATTTGCACATGTTTCAAAAGTTTTATTGCAGAAAAATTGGAAAAATATTTAGTTCAGCAGGTTTGTAATGTAATATCCTATCGATTGTCGTATTTGGATTTTAATTTCATATATAAACAACAAAGTTACAAGTTTTTAAAACCTAACACTACTTCACCACACATAATTTTTGATTTGCACACCAGTATAGTCGACAAAGACGTAGTTCTACGTCAAAAATTGATTTACTACTTCCGGTTAGATGTACCCTCGGCTGTAGCTTATCGTTCGTTCCGATGCGGCGTGCCAATGTTCCCTTGACTGTAGATCGCTCGTCCCGATGCGATGCTAGTAGATTGTGGAGATTGTGTGGAGATGTAAAGGATAAAGTTTATGTTGTCCTTGTCCGTCGGCATTCCCCCGAAGGCTATTTCGGATCAAAACCACTTTTCACTTTCACTTTCCACAACCAGGACTACCGATTGCGCCATTTATGTTTTACAGGTACTTCGAAGAGTTTTTAAATAAACATCTACTTACTACAATGTACGATACCAGAATGAATTTAATTTAATTTTTCCTTCAATTACATAATGTTTTCCGTACATTCCGTACCTAGCGCTCCTACTCGTGGAATCTGGTGTTGCCATGTTTGTCGTCGTCGTTGTCGATGTTCACCGTCGTTGCGTGTCCTGCTCCGTCAGCGGATTTGGTTGGTGTTATTTGATCACTTGTTAGGGAACATGCATAAATGACGTAGCATTTGAGGGGGGAGGTGGGGGTTTCAGAATTTGTGACCGGCCATGTATTGGATATAGCCAAATACGCTACGAAGGGGGGAGGAGGGGTCTACAATTGATCAAAAATATGCTACGTCATTTATGGATGCTCCCTTACTGGGTGAAGTCTGGAATGATGATGATTGCTATTGTGGGTGTGGTTGGTAATCGTTGCCCTTGTGGTGGCTTTTCAGCGATGTCAATGAGCTCGCTAGCTGTTGTTAGATCCAGTGCAGTTGGAGCTTCTTCTTCTTTTCTTTATTTAACGTCGGTCTCTGTTCCGCAATCTAGTGCCAATCATCGACGGACATCGATTGGCATCATTAACATGCAGTAGCAATTTCAGGTGAAATGGGGCACTAATTTTCGAGATTTATTTAATTGAAAATTCGAGGTGGAAGTGCAGTTATAGCCTACGTGGCGGCCATTTGTGGACTCACAAGGAATTACCTTAAACCGTTCTTACCGTGCACGGTAAAAGCAAGCAGCCACACAGGATGAACATTTTTCACGCTCGCCTTATGCGCCATTAGGGGTGCTCAGGATGCATGAGTGAGTGAGTGAGTGAGTGAGTAAGGGATCGTCCATTAATTATGTCACACTTTTAGGGGGGAGGTTTTAGGAAACTGTGACTAGCCATACAAAAAAAAATTAAGGTCCATACAAAAAATGTGACAAAGGGGGGAGAGAGGGTTGAAAATGGGCCAAATTTGCGTGACATAATGAATGGACCTTCTCTAAGGTTTAGAACTCGTGTCCTAAATTTGGTATGGATTATCGTCTCATTTCTCACTCCTACTTGATGAGCATTTGCCTGGACACTAAGTAAGAAATCATTGCCATGACGGGGAGCCAGGGAGAGCGTTTTCACCTCGAATACCAGAATATAAGAGTGACGGCAGTGTGTTCTCCAAAATTCGGTCAACGGACTCAATATTTTGAGTGAGTTCGGCTGAATTATTTTTTTTAATTTTTTTTTATTATAGTCACTTTAAACACTTTTTGGGTCATTCGTGACTTGTCCGGGGTGAGATTTGAATTTGTGACTTTAGCGTGAGAGGTATGGATGCTAACCACTACGCCGGGGTCGCCCTCAGGCTGAACTTTTATTTTAGTAAACGCCATCTATTGGTTATCTGTGATATCATAGCTGATCTTTGTAATAACGGAGAACCAACCTTGGGCAGTCAATCATGTTCACGCTCACACGGATTTTAGTATATTGCATGTTCCAGTTCAGGATCCCAAGACATGTGATATTCAAATTTCATCAAATGAACTAAACTGACAGTGATACATAGATTCAAGATTTATTATCCAACATTTTATGTACCGTAGTGGCGGGCTTCTTTTGGACTGGACGGGCTACTTTGGAAACTTGCAAATTTGTTGAATAAAATGAAGTTGATTAAAGAATCGATTGAATGTTTATCCACAAATTAACAATGAGACTGCAGTTTACTCCGATTTATAACATCCTCAACTATTATCATTAAGTACTTCCTAGAATTAAGCGGAAAAGCTTACCATCATAGTCTTTTTACTACTTTCCCAAAAAAATTACCCAAAATCGGTGTTAAAACTTGTGATAACATTTACAAGCACCTATCGGGAGCCAGTAAGCATTCATAGTGGACGATATTTCATGTAGAAAATGTTTATAACATTGTTACAGGTAAAGAAAAGACAGGTAATATTTCTCCATATATCAAACCATATCAAACAATTATGATTTTCGAAAAGTTCTGTGAAACTTGCAATTTGACTGATCTTACTATGAAGTTTATACAGGTTGTTTATTTTTGAATGGAGTTTATGATGTCGATTGATTTTGTCAATTTTATTTTCAAAACAGTTAAAATTTGACCACGTGTCCAAAGTAGACCGCCTGTTTACATTTCCGACTGCGGTTTGATGGCTATGTATCGAACATTTTCTACAATCAATCTTGGTTGTTCATATACTTCTCATTACACACCCTAAAACTATTTGAAGTATACCACATCCTAGTATTAACTACTTTATTGATTTCATACGAACCTTTTGCTTACACCAGAAAAGTATCGAAAGAAGCCCACCACGACGGTCTGTTTGAAGATTGTACACTGGCACATACGTACGGAGTGTTAATAAAGTGTAAAAGTTGATGTTTTTACCATGTTCCACTATTTCTTGCACGTTTCGTGCCTTTGCCACGGGACTTGCGACTGTGGAAGCCGACTGCACCTCTTTCAACGTAGCCCAGTATGTTCCGTTTCAAGCATTACAGATGAAGGTTTTTCTTGTTATTTTTAAAAATTTTGCTTGCTTACTTGACTAATAGTTAATTTAAAAACAGTTAAAGATTGCAAAAATCTGAAGTTTAAAAAATTTGACCTTACAACATTGATAGCTTTTGCTCAAATATTTCTAACTTATGTTTAGTATTCTTTTTAGCACAACGGTAGGTGTCTGTAACAAGTTGAAAGATGCGTTATTCAAAATATTGCGTGTTTTTGGATTAATGTTGTTTTTCTGATTGGTTTTAATATTCTTGATATGTGTTTATACTTTTACGTGGATAGATTCAGTTAGTGTTTGATAATCTATGTTTTTAAATACTTTGTATTTTTATCGGTTGTGTTAGCGTATGGAGAAAGTACAATAGTGAATAAGCGAGATATTTACTCAATATTCAGAAACTTTTGGATAACAATGTCCATTTTGTAGTTTGTCAAAACTTTGATAGGAATACGATTCGTTGGCGTTTGATTTCTATGGTGCTTAGTTGTGCACTTCGCAGGATAGAGAGTGGGGTGAAACGGCTTCTTCTTCGTCATCATTTTCCTGCGAATCCTCTGGTTCGCCCAGAGCGTGTACAAATTCGTAGAAATCGATCCGTCCATCGCCATCGACGTCCACTTCTTTGATCATATCTTCGACTGAAATGTAGAAATCAGTTTTTCAATATGTTGGTTTAGTTTAGTTATGTAGAGCTACTCACTGTCTTCCTCATCCAGATCTTCACCTAAGCACTGAAGAACCGCTCGTAGATCGGAAGCCGTTATGTAACCCCGGTTGTGTTTGTCAAAGACACGGAAGGCATCCCGTAGTTCTCGTTCCTCCTGGTCGGCCGATGTTTCCGCCACAGTATCCGTCATATTGGACATGATATCGACAAACTCTTCGAAACTCACGTTTCCATCACCTGTAAGAATCGTTCTATAAATTCTATACTTTATATATTTTCAGTTTAATGAACCCTACCATCTACATCAATCTCCTGCAGCATTTCTTGTAGCTCTTCCACGCGCGCAAACTGCCCAAGTGACCTCATCACAGTTCCCAGCTCCTCCTTTGTAATCGAACCGTCGTTATCCTTGTCGAACAGCCGGAACGCCTCCCGAAACTCTTTCATCTGATTTTTTGAAATAAACCTCCTGTTCAAACTGTAGTTGAAATTGCTGGAGGTGATCGAATCGGAAGTGTGGGAACGGCGTGTTTTGGGGTGCGTTCCGGTTGTGGTTCCCCCCTCGACGAATACGTTTCCATCAATGCTGGAAGACTCGCTGGCCAGTTGGTTGGGGTTGTCCTCCTGTTGACGGGGCATACTTCGATTGCTGGCTGCGGAGCTGACACTGAAGTCCGAGGTGGTTCCTCCCAATCGTTGGGCTGGATAGTTGTTGCTGTGGTCGCTCTGGGTGTTCTGGCTTGATTCTGGCTCGTTATGCTGCTGCGGTGCGTCTGGATCGTTGGTTTGCCGGGTCTGGTAAATATATGAATTGGGATAATAATTAGTTACATGGCCCTTCTGCGGATTCGAATATTCGAATGACGAATTCATTGGACATGGGTAGTAATCGGATAACGGATCTTTCATAATATTTTGATCAAATTAGATAGTTGAAAGCGATATTGTCACACTCAGTATTATCCTGGAGCAGGTCAACGAATTCCGAGAGTTCCGTGTATTGACTACGAATGTGCTTTCGATCGACATAACCACGAAAATCTGTGACGCGCTTTGAGTCGCAAGGGAGTCATAGATAAAATCATCGATCTCATCGTAGCGCGATACGAGGCTTTAACGTGCGGAGTCCTGCAAAACTGAGCCTGGTGCGACCCTACCTGGGTAGTCGCTGGTGTGAAGAAGAATACACACTATTACAGCTACTGAGCTATTTCTTTTTTATCGTAAATGATCCTAGCAGAGCAGCACATTTATCGCTGAACAAGTGTGATTACTTATATGCAGTCACAATCAATTTGCAGTAACTTATTTCGATGGAAGAGTGCTGTTTGATACGAGATCATGTTCTAAACCGTGGGTTTGGCAGCCTAGTACTATAGACAGGGTGGCCACAGAACCGGGAAAACCGGGAAAATGCCGGGAATTTTAAAATGACCGGGAAAACCGAAAAAAAAAACTGGAAATTCCGATACAAATTCGGGAAAATCAGGCGCTGGTTTGCGTTTGACAGAAAATTGGTTCATAAAAGTCCCCCTATTGTCTCCTCTTCATCTTAGAGACAAACGAAAGAAAAGGCATAATGAAAAAGACTGCGATCTAACGATTGTCGAGTTCAAGAATGTTTACAACAGGGCAGTGTTGGGAAAATATCAAAAAATCAAATCTCACCAACGCCCAAGATCACGCTTGATTTTCGTAGACAAAAATCAATAAGCAAACCACTGCGGTTGATTTTGCAAGCTGTGATATCGCAGCTCGGAATATCAAGCTAACAAAACTCACCAACTGCAAATCTCACCAAACTGTGGTGAGATTGAGTTTAATGATTTTTGCTTTACACTCGAATGCAACTGAAACTTCCATAACGGCTTGCAGCAGTCCCTTCGCGTCTGCCATCGGTGAAGATTAAAAAGAGATAGCAAACTATGCTTTCTCTTTCTAAAAAACGATGTGCAATCGAATCATTTTTGTGTCGAGTCAACTCTCAGCTTGATTTTTGCACATTGTGAATAGTCTCGCAATATCAAAGGAGCTTGTAAAATCAATATCAAGCATGATATTTTGTTCCAATATCACGCATGAGAGCGGAAAAATATCGATTGATTTCTGATTTTGCCAACACTGCAACTGGGAATCTATTTTCTTGTATTTTGACAGTCGACTGTGTTGTCCATAATGAAGTAGTTATTGCACGGTTGTTTCCTCGAGAGAAGAAGAACGCGTCACAGACAAAAAAAAGCTAGTTGTCTCCTCTTCTTCTTAGGTTTGCAACGCAGTTCATGTGTATTTTTAACTTAAGACGATCGGCTCCATCGGCTCTTGTCAAAGAAGCTTTTTCGTTCATTTCACGTGTTTTGATCTGCGGACCTCTTTAATTGACTTCAACGCTGAACAAACAAATTTGTAAAGTGTTTTCCGTGCGATTTACTAGTGTAAGTCAACAAATAAGAAGGGTGAAATTTGAGAAAATTACTGGAAACTATCATGACAACAAAATATTCGTCGAGGTATGAAAGGAGTACCCTTGGAGTGCACCGGATCTCAAAGATGTATCTGCAGCAGCGCTGCCATTTATACAGATTTATCTGTATTATACAGATTTTTTAATCTTAATACAGACCCGATACAGAATACAGATTTATCACAGATTTTTAAATTACAATACAGATTTATACAGATTTTTATAAAATGCTTGAGAAAAAAAAATTCAAAATTTATAAAAACAAAATAACTTGCTCGATTTTATCAGAATATTAAAATATCAAATAGTAATGAACTCGTGCACTTTTTTGCATTTAAAACTGCTTATCAGGAAGATAATGAATAGAAACTAAAATCTCCATACATTTTCAAACGGCTTCATATAACTCTTATAAATAAGTACGGACGATATCACAAATGGCGCAATTATATCCCGTATGGTTAGTACGATAGCCCGAATAGGTGGTTAAGCACTTTTTATGGTTATTTTGTATGCACTGTATTTGTAAAACAACAAAACATGATTAATTAAGAAAAAAATCGTCAATTAGCAAATCAAAGTTGGCACTCGTGGAGAATAGAAGAACTATAACAGTGATGATGGTTTCAAAATTTTCCACGGGGAAGTATACGAATGCAATCTTAAAATGCTTTTATTTTGCAAATGGAACATTTTATTTAAATCTGGTTGCTACTACAGTGGTAGAAAAGCTCAAATCTATGCACAGCAAAAAAATAATTTTGATATCACGTCAAAGTGGATGCACTACAATCATGTCGAAAATATGGTGTAATATTACTTGCTAAAAAGGACAAAATTATCATTAATACAATGCATGAACTGACATTACGCTGCTTTTACTGCATTTGTTTATTTATGTGGTCATAAAAATTACATGAAATTTTCGACATGATTGTAGTGCATCCACTTTGACGTGATATCAAAATTATTTTTTTGCTGTGTGTGTACACCTAAAAATCTGAAAAGAAATTAATTTTTCTGTATTATTTGTCTATTGAGTAGTCCTTAAGTTTTCTAGTAACATAGCATCAACCAGATTTAAATAAAATGCTCCATTTGCAAAATAAAAGCATTTTAAGATTGCACTCGTATACCTCACCGTGTAAAATTTTTAAACCATCATCACTCTCATAGTTCTTCTATTTTCCACGAGTGCCAACTTTGATTTGCCAATACAGAAAATACAGATTTTTTAATAGAGTGGATACAGATTTTTTTATAAAACCACCTGGCAGCTCTGATCTGCAGCACGGTGCACCTGGTTCAATAAATCATTCAAAATTGATACGATGGTGCGAGTGGCTTTTGGTAGTCACGAAAAAAGCAAAGGGCACCAGCATCAAACTACAACGTATCGCACAAATGTGCCGATAAACAATTTGTTGAGAATGGAGGGTACGACGACAAATATAAAAATTCAACTCACGGAACTCTGCAGGACAATCTATGTGAGATTGAACAACATCCGATGTGATGGAAGCCATAGTGACATTCCTACAAACCTCCAGATGGTCAAGATCAATTAGTTTACAAGGATCTTCATAACTGGGGAAATTATATGGATCCAGAGCAAAGCGACTTATGTTGGATAGCTTCTACTTGCTGTATGCGGTTCTGATGATACCACAACTGTATAATTAAATGTAGAGCGAACTAAGGAACAATACAGGGTCTTCAGACAGTGAATATCCGAGAATTCTTTTCAGCATGTAAAATAAAGCCCAGGAATTTAGAAACTTCGGAGGTTATATATGACGGATTTCACGCCAACTCATCCAGTGGTTGGCAGCACCCTCTCAGAACCTTATGGAACTTTGTGGGTGTGGAGACTTAGCAATTTTAAGCAACTTTGCGTACTTATTTTTTTCAAAATTTATCTCGCCTAACATTTGATAAGGGTCAAAGTTTTTTGTCGATTTTTTTTTTCAAATCGATATAGCTTAAAAATGACAAGCCCTACAAAAAAGTGATGTATGGCGAACTTTTAGCAAATAATCTGAAATTTTATAAAATAATTTAAATAAAATAAAAAATCGGTTTCTACACTCTAAAAAAATATATTTAAAAATTAAAAGTCATTTTCCCAAAAATGGTACCCCTCAGATTTGCTTGATATTTTTTCTCATGAAAGGCAATATAATTACCTAACTTTTCTTCATACATCGCAAAGTGGGCGCTTTTAAGGAAAAAAAGTTGTTCGAACAACAACTTTTTCATGTTAATTTTTTTTTAGCGTGTTTCACTCAAAGTCGAATAGTACTACGCGCACAACCTTATTAAAATTCGATTAAACTTTATGGGTATACTTTTCGATAATCTGGGTGAAATCTAGCCTAACATTTGAAAAGGGTACAGAGAAGTTACCTGCAAATCGTCCAATAAGAGTTCAGAACAAAACGTTCTAATGAGGAACAGCCATCTCAGCATGGTTTGCACTTTCCTGTGATGGATTGTATTATAATATATGCATACACTCTATCCAACTTCTATAAAACCACCCTCAAATTGTTCCAAATCAACAGGTAAACTAAGTAAAAATCACTTAGTATGTTTTATTCATGAAAAGATTTCAATTCATGTATTTGTGATTAATTTAATTAGAAAAATAATCATTCATTTATTTTTATGTATTAGGTGTGTCCATTAGTAAGCAATATGCATATATGTTTATACCTCATCTCTCAAGTGAATACATATAATAGCGCAGGTAACTTAACGATTATTTAAGGCATGCCTAAAATAATCGTTAAGTTACCTGCTATATAGCAGTTATATAACAACGCAGGTAGTCACATGAGAGATATAAGGTATAAACTTAAAGCACCGCAGTCTGTTTCTACCGACATAATCTAATATTTAAGTTTGGTGATATCACAACAATGCTCATAGTTGCTGTAGTGCATAGTTGTTGAAAGTGTAGTGCTGCATAGTTGTTGAAACGAAAAAGTGTTTATATATACAACAATGGAAAAATCTGCTGAATTGATTATTAAAAGGGTGCAATGTAGTGCCAACATAAACAATCCCAATTGCAGCCGCAATAATTTACGTAATTATTATCATAGAGAAAATACATTCATGGGGCTTTGATCATCAATTGGATGTAACAATGCGTATTTGTGAATCGTGTCGTGGAATTTTAGTGCACAATAGGACACCTCTCCCGAAAAAGAGGCGATCGGATGGAAAAGAATCAAGCCATGCTCGGAAGTTTGAAGAGCCGCAACCATCAACAAGTCATCAGCAATCAGAACCTATTTCTCAAAACATAATTTCTACTAAGCGATTTTCA